CTTTCGCAAATATAATATGGGCTTTGATTGTTTTTCTTATATTATATATCTAATTCACTTATGCATGTTTATGGGTAATATACGAAGGAATAAATTATGTTGTCAAAATTATTTGTACTAATTATTAACGCTATTTACATGAGATCGAACAACATAATAAAAAAGGATATATTGTGGTTCCGTATGATATTTTCGTTTGTACGTATGTATGTTTTTTTATAGTGAATATTAATCTCTCGTACGCACTTACTTTTTTCTTTTTTTGGACAAATATTTTTCTCTCATATGGGTTTTAGGTTGTGCGTATATGTATTCATGGTGTAGGTATGTACACGTTTTATGAGCGCCTATGATTGCCTTTTACATTATTAATAAAAAAATACTTTCAAGAAAATTGGTGGAGGGCGTGAAGCGGCGCCATGGCGGCATTGCTTCTTTGACAACATCACCAATAGTGTTTGCTACATATATGTACAATTTGAGAAAAACGTTTGGGCTGCAAAGAAAGAAATAGAAAACTACCAAGACAGGGCGGATCGTACGCATTTTTCTTTTTGATATCTCTTGTGTACATACATATATAGGGATAGATTAGCTGATTTTTAGGAGCAAGTGATTATAATATATCTAATCTAATGGTTGAAAATTATGGATTGATCGTTTTAAGTGTAAATTGATGACTTACATGTTTTTCTTTTTATTGTATTTTTCTCTTCTTTATTTGAGCATCATATAGCATCTTAGGAGTGTTTGTAGGAGTATAGGAATGCTATTAATCATACTCACAATCTACTTGTAGTCAGCTATTATTTGATTTGGCTTGGTGGTATCCTCTATTTACGTATCATTTGTTGATAATTGCCTACTTAGTATCATCCTTTATCGTGCTTCATGACAAACATGTTCATTGGATATGAGGACGCACTGTGCATGGATGTCATGTAAGCAATATGGCTTGGCAATTGGTGTATAGTAATTTGTATATAGAACCTATATACATAGGGATTAATTAGTGTAGACATTCAATTGATATATTAGGACCATCTTGATCAACAAATTATATATTTTATACTATATATTAAGTGTTTTAGTAGATAAGTAATAAATTTATGGTTAAGTTCTAAAATGCTTATCCGATTAGCTACTCACTTAGTTATCGTGAATACGTTTACCGAATTGCTAAATTGTCCGTATTTCTAAAATATTTTCTATATAAAAGTTTTATAAAAATCAAATAAATTCACTTTTGAGTTTGTAATATTTAATACTTAATTAATCTTGCGCTATTGAAGTGCATCTTTTCGTGTGACCTCAATGAATGAGCTAGATGGAATGAATGCTAAGTAGGAGATAAAGAACATCAATATGGTGTCAAAAGAATATTTTAGATCTTTAATTTTCCAATAACGTATGAATAGAGAAAACACAAAATACATGAAAAATACATTTATGACAAATTTAGATGTTTCATTTTGATATATGAGCATTTTTTACGATTGGAGTTATTTTTATTTTTGAAAATATAAGTCCAATTTAACTATTATATAATCTACATTTTCAATTCATTTATGTTTTTCATGGATTTTTCGTTGACATGCGTCTAATTAGAATACAAATCGAAATGACATATTCTCTCCATCTCTTTTATATAATATTTTTTAGCTATGAATTGGGACTAATGCTTGTTCAGATTCACAGTTAAAAGTTGCTATATTTTGGAATGAGTGCAGTATGTTTTTACACCTTAAAGCATAATACTTAAAGCATAATACCCAACTTATATGTGTGTTATTATTTATTACTGTGTTGTTTCGTTGTTAGTTGGTTGTCACGCAAATGGCAAAAGACAGTGGTGCATATATGTGGATTTAATGGGTTGATCGGTTTAATATTATGGATCTACCGATTTACAATTAAGGATTAAATTTTTCCTTTATAATATTTTTTTTAAAAAATAAATTATTAGCTAGAATATAGGAAGGATTAAAATTTTCCTTTATAATATTTTTAAAAAAATTAAATTATTAGCTAGAAAATAGGAAGGTGAGAGAGAGGTTTATTGGAGGAAGGAGGAAGTGTACGTACGTGCCTATGTGCGTGCATGAGGTGTTCGGAGGGATTAGTATGCTACTTTTCATCTAATCTAAATATAGGAAAGAAAAAAGGAAAAAAAGAATAGATGTGCAACCGGGCCGGGAGTACGTACTTAAGTTTGTCTTTTTTGGTAGGAATATCCACATACTTAATGGGAAATTTTTAGATAGATGTAAGTGTTGAAAATAATGGGTCCATCAGATTAAATGAAATCGACGGTTAGGAGTTTTGTTTTTTCTTAGAATTTTTCTAATTTATTGAAGTGCCACGTGGCGACTTAGGAGCGTTTATAGGGTGCCACATTACAGTTTAGAAGCGTTCGTAGGAAGTTTAATGGACTTTTAGTATATAATAGAAGATTTGCGTATTTCAGCCTCGACGGACTGCCTAAGTAGTGACGACTGATGGGCAGGGTCCGATGACCTACGAAGATCGATTATCACAAAGTGATTAGCTTATGACAGTCGGTTACCCGTTGTAAAAATACAGGATTTTTATAGGTTTTAAGAAATAGGTGGAGCGGTCGGCCTACTGTATGTATGTAGAGCTTGGACATGGGCCGTGCTTTCTCGGACCGGCCCAAGGCACGATGGCCCAGCACGACACGGCTATGGGCCAGGCCGGCACAGCCCATAGTTAGGCTGTGCCTGGGCCGTAAGTTGAGGCACGCTGGGCGGCACGGTACGGCCCAATGGCCGTGCCTGGGCCAGCCCAGCACAAAAAAGGTCCGAAGGCCGGCCCAGCACGAAAAAGGCTGGCAGGCCGGCATGACTCCTAAGCTCTAGCGGTCTCAGGAATCCTAATTAGCGCGTACGCGCCAGCCCACACGCCCTAATAGGTGGATTTTTTCATATATGTGTAAATTTTCAACCCAGATTTGAATACCTTCAACTCCGACTTGAAAACTTTCAACTCCGATTTGAAAAACTTTCAACTCAGATTTAAAAATTTTCAACTCAGATTCGAAAACTTTCAACTCGAGATTTGAAAACTTTCAAATCGGATTCGAAAACTTTCAACTCGAGATTTGAAAACTTTCAAGTATAGATTTAAAAATTTTTAAGTTAAGATTTGAAAAAATATGAAAACTTTCGACTCAGATTTAAAAACTTTCAACTCGAGATTTGAAAACTTTCGACTTCGATTCAAAAACTTTCGACTCGAGATTTGAAAACTTTCAACTCAGATTCAAAAACTTTCAACTCGATATTTAAATAGTTTCAAATCAGATTTAAAAATTTTCAAGTTAAGATTTAAAAACTTTCAACTCAACATTTTTTAAAAAATAAGTGTGCTAAAGATTAAAAAAAATAATCAGAAAAAACAAAAAAAAGGAAAAAAATCGTAAAAAAACGAAAGAAAAAAATCGCGAATAAAAGAGAAAAAAAAGGCCGATCGGCTTTGTGGGCCAAGGAGCAGCTGACGTGCGCGCGCCAGTTAGCAACGCCCCTAGCGGTCTAGCCTAGCCGAGCGGCCGAGCGGGCCGAGCACGCGGTCGCGAGGAATCCTGCCGGGCTTCTTTTCCTCTCAAGTCAACGACGCGCGTCACACCACACGTCTAGGTAGACGTTTGTCCATGAACGATCGCGAGGCCCCGCCGCGACCGCCCGCGGCAGCGATCATCGGACGGCGCCGAGGGGCACACGGAAGGATCGGATGGTCCATGCGCGCGCTGGCAGCCTACGCAAGTAACGCAACCCGTGCGACTGCCGGCCGCGTCGCCGCGAGGAGATCAGGAGGCAGGAGCGCGTGCGTTCGTCGTTCGACCTTTCGACGCGTGGTCAGTCTTCAGCCTCGAGGCGTCGAGCAGCCAGGTGCCAGCAGCGGAGGAGTCGTTCACAGTTCACATGCCGTCGCCTGCTGCACTGCTCCCTGCCGCCTGCCGTTGGTCACAGTAACACAGTGATGACTGATCAACTTCAGAGCTCACAGAGTCACACTCACACGCGTCGTCGGCCGTTGGTGTAATTTGTGATGACTTCAGAGTTCACCCGCGTCGCCGCCGGTAACCGAGGAGGCAAGGGAGAGGAGAAGAGCCTGGCGCCCGGCCTGCATACCCTATATAAACCATACCCATTTTTTTATTTCAACACACTTCTTCTTCTTTCAACACATCTCCCCACCGTATCTATTTTTTATAGAGAATATGCGAAAGTCCAAAAAGCGTCGACATGAGTCGACAACCGGTCCATCCCAAAGAACGGTCGATGTCCGGCAGCTATCCTCAGGCATGGACGACTACGAAATGGATGATCGCCACATGGATGGTCTGGAGGGCGACGATGATGATCAGCCATCTCCTGGCGAGGCCAACTTCTCCATCGACGCCGACGCCACGACGATGCCCACACCAAATTCCGACAACCAGCCATCTACCAGAAGAGCGGAGTGTTGGCGGCACTTCGAAGTATTCACCGAGATGGTTGATGGTAAAAGTATACCTCATGCTCAATGCAAATATTGCGACAAAATTTTGTCTACAGCTACTTCTTCAGCGACATGCCATCTCAACCGGTATTACTTGGCGCATCTCAAGAACAAGGCGCCGGCGACAGACACAATTGTCCTTCGGCCCTGACGGTTCAGTAAGTACATGGACCTATGATCCAAAAATAGCTAGAGAAGAGATTGCTTAGTTTATTGTTGCTGAGGATCTACCAATTAGAATGGGGAAAGCAAACATTTTGAGAGGATGATCCAAAAAGCTTTTTGCCCACGGTAAAAAAGGTTTCTAGGAAAACCACCAAGAATGATATTACAACTATATATCGTTCTAAGTTGAGTGTGTTGAAGCAAACTTTCAGTACTAGTAATATACCCGTACTAACGTTACGGCGATATTTCATAAGACAACGGTGATAAGCAGAAAGGGAAATTCCTGCTGAGAATCAAACGACTTCATAGTGTAAATGAAAATAATGCTGACCAATAAATTATACTTCTTCCTCACAGCATATTGATTTACACACAAAACTTACTGATATGTAAAACTCATAGCATGATCAGCTTCACTTGAGCTATCAGAAGGGTTCTCTCAAAAATAAGAGTAGCACATACAGAGTCATTCACATGTAATTACAAGTGCAATATGCCTACCTTTTCCTTTTCTCGCCTTTAGAAATAGGAATATGTTGATTCAAAAGAATGGTATGCTGATAGTTCACCAATCCTACTTCCCAAGGATCAGCGACGGATCAGGAGCAGGGACGCACCCACTGTCATCGGCATCGGGAAGATGCCAGTCCCAGCAGGCATTGAACTGCCGCCGAGGCGCTACTACACTGCTTCTGACCTGCACGAAGGCTGCCCGCCTCCCGTCGCTCTCGTCCCAATCAGTGGCAGACCCAGACCTACAGCAAGTCAAAACAAAAAAACTCAAGCACAAAAGTACGGTTACATCTTAAATTATCAAAATGTAGCACAATTAGTTCAAATTAAGTCTTTAATTATTAAAACACAATACATTTACTCTTTCTTGAGTTTCTTCCTGTCCTATGTCTTATAATCTGAAACAGAGGGAGTACCAAATAAGGGAAGGTTCTTATTGGTCATTACTAAATTGTCATGGAAGAAGAATCATATATAGTTCATTTGGTGAAGTTAATCTATTGTCTCTTTCATCCTATATATATTTTTTATGCTTTCTAAACCAACTGTTCAAAGTGATAATTAAGGTATTCTCCTTTTTAGGGGAAAACAGGAGGGCAGGCCCATACTGCATATGTACTAATAAAAGGACAGTTAATGTGCAGAGTAATGGAAATTTTTTTTACAGAAAACTATAAGATAGAACCCTCAGTTTTCGGTCTCTGAATTCTGACACAATGGCACCAGCAATATCAGAAGATATAACATATCCAGGACCATTTGCATAGGGTGGATAGACCTCCTCCGGCCACTCCTGTGATGTTGATAAGCAAGATTAGAATTATCCAGTCTAGTAGAGTTGCTAGGGAAAAAAAAAACTAAAACAAGACACAACCTAAATGCCTAACTGATTGCAAAACAATTCTACTGACAACACAGATAACTAAGGATGTTAAAAATAACCAACAAAGATTGATATCTCAGATCTTCGATTGTGTACACCTTAAAAGGACCTTTCATCACTTGCAGGAAGTAATTGTTCTTCACACTGGTTTGTATAAAACAGTAGAAAAAATAAAAACTTATGCAAAGAATGAATCAAGTTATTAATCAGATTTTGATATCTACAAAGTCATACAGTGGTTTCAGTCTTCAAAACTTTGAAGATAACAGGAAGTTCAGAGACAGCACACAGAAAAAACAGAGAAAAAAAAGTTCCAAATATCAATTGCGACTATAATAAGCATCCATAAAACACATATTTTCAGTTTTTTTACTATGAACAATGTTTGGACTTCGAGAGTAACATTAGTACTCCCTCCGTTTCACAATATAAGTCATTCTAGCATTTCTCATATTCATATTGATGTTAATGAATCTAGATAGATATATATGTCTAGATGCATTAACATCAATATGAATATAGGAAATGCTAGAATGACTTACAATGTGAAACGGAGGGAGTAGTACATATCCATAACCAAGTTCTTCTTCTAATGGAGTCTATCACTCATGACTAAAGTAATTAGCTTGTACACTTCAAGCAAATAGAAGAAACGATGACAAAAGGTGCATACGCAATATTATCTGACAACCACCATCAAACAAAATACATATGCTTTACCTCATAAGTTACAGCCCATTTCCCATGACGTAGCGACCTGTGATGGAAGTTGATATTTCCTATGTAGAGGCCTCTGCCACTTTGTACCTTGTTGACTTCAGTTATTATTGAATCAAGTCTGACAAAAGTATCATCATCGCACTTCATTACATACCTAGCAGAGACAACATGAACCTGAGCAGACAAGTCAACCAGTCAGAAAATATGAAAATAACAGCTACAATTTATAGATCATTAAATAAGAATCAGTTTTAGCAAGAAACTTGTTGGCATACCCCATATTCACATATTGCAAGAGTCTTCAAAACAACTGAATCATAGTTGTCCAGGAACGGCACAAAACAATGTCCCCAAAAAATTCTGCTTCCTTTTTCAACTCCACATTCACTTCTTTTCGGCCATGCTGGGATAAAGAACGTTCATCAGCTCAGGTTTATGGAAGACATGAAGCAAGGAAATCTATCAAGTTAGTTCTCAAGAATTACCAGTGCAACAAAGAAACGAGCTACCACATTTGGTGAGTTTCGGACAGCAGACATCCATGTCTTCCTCACACCCATGCGCTCAGCAAAATGATTGCCAGATGACAAGATGCCAATGAAAATGTCAACAGGTTCATTAGGCAGAGGAGAGGACTGCCAAACAGTTGACATATCCAGGTAACTCTGTGGTAAAGCTTGGGTGTGTAGTGGGTAAGGACCCTGCAAACACTGATTGCACATCAAGGTCCCCACTCAATGATAAACCTGTGGCATCCTCAAGAACAAACCCCTGCAGGAGCCAAAGCAAAACAAAAATAAACTTAAGGCAACTATTGCCCAGCACTGATATTTGAACTACCGTAAATCATAGTGTTCCATTATTCATTATGCAAGCCATTTACCACAATTTCAATCTTGGACGTAATAAGATAAATGGAGGAACAAATTGTTAGGAACCTGATTGGGCTGTATATGGGCCAAGCTAGCCAAGTCCAATTGAGGCCCAAGCAAGCAGAAGGAGCAGCATACAAAAGCAACAGCAACAGCATTGTTGGAAGGCATCGAACAGAACACAGGCATCGGCGGCTTCGGCCACGGCGGCGGCGGCGTCCTGGTTCCGGGCTGGAACCTTGGCGATCTCTCTCTTTTCTACCTCTCTTCATACCTCCAGCTACCTCTCCTAGTTCTAGAAGTTTCAAGAACTTGTATTCCCTAGTTTCTTCTTTTCTTTTTCACCCCAAAACAATGGTTGCTTGTATGGTGGATCCTTGCTATTGAATTGGAGGGATTGGGTTCCTAACAATCTGGTATCAGAGCCGTTCGGTTCACTGGGATTCTTGTCATGGAGGAGTTTGGGAGGCAGCCATGCAAGAGGGAGCAGGAATTGGGTTGGGAAAGTTTTCATCCAAGCAGCACCCACCAACTGTTCGATGAAATGTCAAGCCCATTGGAGGTGTTTGAGGAAGACGTTCTTCTTGTCATGAGTGAGGAGAACATCACATGGGATGAAGCACTCCATCTGTTACAAGAGGAACTGAAGGATGCCCAATGTAGATTTGATGAGAAGCTAGATCGTTTTTTGGAGGTGTTCGGCTTGATGGGAGACAAGAGCAATCAATCTGAGGAAGACAAAAGGAGCAATGAATCTGAGGAATTCAGTGCCTCCATCAAGGAGCTCACCCCCACCACCGAGGCTGCTGCATTTCAATCACCCCAAGCATCACCTTCTTCAGCGCCCACCAAGTGTTCGATAATTTGCTTTGGCCTCGACACCATGTCTGACCTCAACATGGCAGCAGCAGTTGTGTGCGCCACCACTTCTCTGGCCTCCATGGAGTTAGTGGCTGGAGGGAACGCAACCTGTGAACCCTACGTTGACACCCCTGGTCATCCCAAGGAGACGCATGTCAAGTGTTCGATGGTTGGCCTTGAGGTCAAGGGTGGCACCGACCACACCAGGGTCACATGCCAGACCATGATGGGTGTGCCTGACAGCGTTCTAGTACCTGATGCATCATCCAAGGTCTTCTCGCCATGGTTGATTGTTGAAATGGGCCTTGTTCCCTTGCTGCTCACTGTGTGTTCGATGAAATGTTCCAAAGACAAGAAGAAGCTGCTACTGGGGAATGCTAAGAGAAATTCATGGACACCTTCTTGGGTGGGCGGAGTGATTAGACGATGGGAGTTGCAGCCTTTGCCATGGCCTGGATCCAAATTATATTGGGAAGGTTTACCATTGATGCCCCCATGGCCACCACCGACTCGAGTAAGCTTCCTGGCATGTGAGACTTTTGATATTGGAGCTCTAGTCATTGGAACAGTGATTTTAACACAAGCGATGGTTGAGATAAAACCATGGCCTCCACCAAGTGAAGTAAGTGGTCTTCCCTTACTTCCAATTCAAAGGATTGGAACATTTCATACTGAGAGGAAAGTTACAGACTTGCATTGGGCTGAGTTGAAAGCTTGGTCTCTGTTTGATGAAAATGGTACCAGCCACATCCTAACAGATGAGCCGTGTGAGCTTTACTTGGGTTGTGTAATTTTCACTGCTGGAAACACTAGGAACCTTGAAAAGCTTGAGTTTATAAGGTGGACCAAGTGGCAACAACAACTTTTTGCAGAAAGGGATTATCCTAATAGTGCTGAAGGGAATCAATTAATTGCTTGGAATTTTAAGCAGTACATTGATGGAGGAGTGCTTTCCTTTGTTGCTATAAAGTTGTCAATCCAGCCAACAAACGTTGAGCAAATCAGTCAGTACATTGTTCAATATTCAAGTATTGGGAGAGAATTGGATTTCTATCATAAATTGCATACACTTGCTCAAGTTATTGGGAGAAAGGATTCCTTACTTCAGCTATCTGAACCCCAGTTAACATCATGTAAAGTTGGACAAAATACTGAGAAGGGTGGATGGTGTCTTATCATGGACAAGAGATGCTCAGATTTTTTCAAGCTTCTGGCATTGTTAGATGGGAAATGGGAAGCTATCAGACATGCAATGGTTTATCTTATCACAAAGCTAATTCACATATCACCAAGGAATGCACCCTTTAGATCAACAATCAATTATCTGCTGGGAGGTAATAATCTTGTGGTTCTACACAAATCAATTGTTGGGATCCACTTGGGATGGTGGGTGTTTCCTTGTGACATTGGAGTGAGACCCCTGGAAAAATTGGTGAGGAGATTAGCACAGTTCTGGCAACATAAAGGACAAGCAAAGCCTTCTCTTGCATTCCTGAACAGCAACCCAAGAACAAGCCGTGACATGATTTTGCACAGACCCTGGGATCCTGGTGGTGGTATCAATTCCATACTATTTCATTTCTATCGGCTTGAGGGCAAGCCGAATGTCAAGGAGAGGGGATTGTTAGGAACCTGATTGGGCTGTATATGGGCCAAGCTAGCCAAGTCCAAGCGAGGCCCAAGCAAGCAGAAGGAGCAGCATACAAAAGCAACAGCAACAGCATTATTGGAAGGCATCGAACAGAACACAGGCATCGGCGGCTTCGGCCACGGCGGCGGCGGCGTCCTGGTTCCGGGCTGGAACCTTGGCGATCTCTCTCTCTTCTACCTCTCTTCATACCTCCAGCTACCTCTCCTAGTTCTAGAAGCTTCAAGAACTTGTATTCCCTAGTTTCTTCTTTTCTTTTTCACCCCAAAACAATGGTTGCTTGTATGGTGGATCCTTGCTATTGAATTGGAGGAATTGGGTTCCTAACACAAATGTACTTACAGGACGGTATGGAAAAGAAGTCACATGTCGCCCGTCGACGTTCACATGGTACCCCTCCAACCCAGCGCTGATAGTAAGAACAAACAATCGGCCCTCCACAAAAGGATAAGGCCAATCAAAATTCATCTCCTTCTGTCCGATCAGCCGGTTCAGCCAGGTTGTCGTTGATTCCTTGGAACGTCTATCTGCGTCCAGAATTCAGTTCTCAAACTTCAAAAATTATTCACTCGATCAACAAATTTCACATAATTCACCTGAACTAACATAATCAAACTGGAATTGCAGGGGTCCCCAACCGGTCTCCTCATCAGAGTGGGACTTCCAGCCCTCACAGCGGAGCGGGGCGCCCCACTGCATTCGGTAGCAGGTGTTCTGCTCAATCACCGGCCTGCTGCTCCAGTCACCGCGGAGGCGTGGGTTGAAGTGGAGGATGTGCGGCGGGTCCTCGCCGTCGACGGTCTTTAGCCCCCGAAGCTCCATCATGAACTGCGACACCATGATCGGTTGCTCCCCCTTGCTCAGCACCGCGATCTTAGGGTCACCCCCAGCGTCAGCCCGCACGACAACTCCACCATGCGGCCCCTCCCATGGAACTCGTCGGCGGAGTGCATGACCGACTGCGGGCACTTGGTCGCCTCCTCCTCCTCGGCGGACGGCGACTCGAAGGCGGCGGTGTCGAGGTCGTCGAGTTCCGCGAACACGCGCGTGCCTGTCTCGACGGCGCCGGCAATCGGGCAGCGGAGTGGGCCGGCGCGCGACGTGTTGAGGAGGCCAAGGTCGAGGCCAGAGACCATCCCCGAGAGGCGCCGGCCGCGTGCGGAAGGCCCCGAGAGTGACGCGGACGCCGCCAGGCGAGGCTCCTTCGCCGAGCGCGCCGGGGCCGCCCGCACCCCGCCGCCGGCGAGCCAGGATCGGTGGGCGTCGAGGGAGAGAAAGAGGGCGGAGTCGGCGCGGGTGGGAGGCGTGATCTGGGCGGCGGATGGAAGGGAGGTGCACAAGAGAGGCGCGATTTGGAGCAGGTGCGGGTGGATCTAGAGGAAGGTACGGAGCCCTTGGATGTAACTCTTTGGAGCGTTGGATGTGTGACATGATGAATGATGAATGAGTAAAACTATTTGTTCAACTATAAGGTAGACTACTAGTTTTTCATTTGCTGTAACATCGGGCATCTGGACATCCCAACACCAAAGAACATCTTACCTTAGTGTTGTTCTTCATTATCTTGACAACAATCAGTCGTTAAATAAGAGTCATAGGATTCAAACTCATGGTGTCACACACGAGATATGCCATAGCCACGACAATCCTAGAGGTATTGAGAGAATTCAATTTATAATCTAGGGTTATTTCCATTACTCTTCACAATGCATCAGCAAACACAACGGCCATGTCGATTTTAGAGCCGGATCTGCAAAGTTATGTTGGAGGCTTCGTTATTCATTAGAGATGCATTTGCCACATCATCAATCGCATCGTTCAACCAGGTACTAATGTTATTAATAATTTATTGATTTTTAGTGTATACGGCATATTGCTTATTTATTTTAATGTATGTGACCTATTTGTTTTGCAGGCATGATTGTTCTGGATAAATTGTTAAACAAAATTCGTCGTTCTGTTCGTATCATAGGAGGTAATACAGTGGTCAAAGCGAGGTTCCAGGACTACTGTAAAGCGAAGAAGAAACCTGGACGGATGTTTGGCATTGATGTCGAATATAGGTGGAATACAACATACCTGTTGCTGCGACAGTTAAAAGGGTACGAGGAGTTAATTTATGTTTTCATCAATTCAATGCATGTCAGAATGAAGGATACCGATGACGACGACGATGGTGAGATTTTGATTCTCACCGATCAGGACTAGGAGATCGCTACACGTGTGCATAAATTTCTGATGCCCTTTTATAATGCTACAGTTCAATTATCGGGAATTTACTATCCTACATCTTGTTTGATGCTTGAGTGGATTTGGAAGCTGGCACTTGTTTTTGATGAAAACCGTCTGATCATATTCAGTCTTCCATTGTTAAACCCATGGAAGAAAAATTTCTCAAATACTTCACCGCTATACCTCACCTTTATTGCTTTGCTTTGATACTTGATCCTCGCAAAAAGTTGGAAACCGCTAAAGTTGCCATGAACTCAATAGGTGATGCAGTGGGGTTGATTATTCTGAAGCTTTTCAACATGTCAATGATAAGCTCTATAGGGTTTTCTGTCTATACCAAACCAAGCTTGGTGGTACTCCCCGAGTTCCCAAGCAGACCTCACAAAAGAAAGCAAGCAAGTCAAGTGCAGTAAATTTGTGGAAGCAGTATATAGGCAACGACCAAGCCTCTTCATCCTCAGAGAACAAATCAACATGGAACCCAAATTTAGAGCTTAACCACTACCTCGTCACCAATCATACTGAGCATGATACGACGCTTGATGGCGACGATGTCGAACTCCTTGGGTGGTGGAAAGAGAAAGAGCGAACTCTTCCTATGTTACCTCACTTTGCTCGAGATATTCTTCTGGTTCCGGCCTCCTCCGTCTCTTCCGAGCAAGCATTCAGCGTTACTAGAAGAATTATTGAAGAACGAAGGTCATGCCTGACACCCAAGACGGTTGAGTCAATATTTTGTCTTAAAGACTGGATGGAAGCAGATGAACGAATACAACACTGTCTACATGATCAAGAGCTTGCTGATGCAATGGAAGACGCATTGGCGGAAATTTGCCTTACCAAAGATGATGGTGGTGTTGATTCGGAGTAATTGATGCTATAATGTAAAATAGTTGTTGTACTCTTTTTTCCTTACAGGGGAACCCTACTCTAGGGCGTAAGGTTTTTAACGAGGCAACAACTATATATTCAAATTATTAATATATATATATATATATATATATATATATATTCACCTAATTTTATTATCTCAAGTTATTTATGATATTAAGTTAATTATAATTGTGTTCATTAAGCCATATACATTACTATCTCATTGTTTTTTCATTTTCCCTCTCTTATTTTTTCCTCCCTTATTTCAGTTTCCCTCTCATTTTCCCCTCCCTTAAGAGTTAAGAACGCATCGGGCAGAGCAGGTCAGAGGCGAATACCCTAGGGCCTAGGCAGCCGGGCGTCGGCGGAGGCCCTCGGCGTGGGCTGCGCGGCGCGGCGGCGGCGGCTATGCGCGGCTACGCGGCATCAGTCCTCGGCGTCGGCGGCTCTTGGCATCGGCAGCCCTCGGCGTGGCAGCGGCAGCTATGCGGGGCCGCGCGGCGTCGGTCCTCGGCGTTGAACGCGGCAACTCTCGGCGTCAGCGGCCCTCGGCGCGGCGGCGGCGGCTCTCGGCGCGGGATGCGCGGCGCGGTGGTGGCGGCTATGCGCGGCTGCGCCGCGTCGGTCCTCGGCGTCGGCGTCGGCGGCGGCGGCCCTCGGTGCAGGATTTGCGGCGCGGCGGCGGTGGCTATGCGCAGCCGCGCGTCGTCGGTCCTCGGCGTCTCTCGGCGGGAATTTTTTTTATTTATAATTTTTTTTATTAAAAGTTTTACAAAAATAATTTTCCATTTTGAAAATTGACGGAAGTAGTCGCCTACCGCCCTCTGGGAGGGCGATTTTTAAAAATCGCCCTCTCAGAGGGCGGCGAAAATGACGTGGCAGACGGCCGTTCGCTCTCGGGCGACGGCCGTCAACGAAATTTGCAGGCGGCCCCCTTGCCGCCCTCCGCTAGGGCGATTTTATACTGTGCGGGGGGCCGCCTGCAAATGGGCGGCGGGGGGGGGGCATGGAATTTTGCAGGCGGCCCCCTTGCCGCCCTCCGCTAGGGCGATTTTGTACTGTGGGGGGGGGCCGCCTGCAAATGGGCGGCGAGGGGGCATGGAATTTTGCAGGCGGCCCCCTTGCCGCCCTGGGGGAGGGCGATTTTTGCCTCTCCCCCTATAAAGCCCAGTCCCTCCTCTGTGAAATTTCATTATATTCACTAAAAATCCAAAAAAAAGAAAGAGAGAGAGGGGAGGGCAGCAGAAGGGGAGCGGCGAAGCCCTGCTGGTTCGCTCAATTCATCACAAGTATGCTCCCATACATCTTTTGCATTTGTACTAATATGTTATGTTTGAGTATATATGTTGCGTTTTAGTTTTAGTTCCATATATTTTAGCACATCTGTAGCACACAGCACATATGTATAGATCCAGAGCATAGAATATAATAGTATGAATTGAGACATAGACAGTAGTGTTAATTGTAAGATGTAGTTTAGTTTGATCTGGAGAATGTAACGTAATTTTAGAAATTTAGAGAACAATATTGTAGAGAATGTAACTTAGGGCGTAGTACAGAAATGCGAGGTTAACGCAGTTATTGTTTTCATCAGGCACAATGTCAAGTAAGGTCACATTTCAGATAGTTCACGGTGAAGGAAATATTAGATTTGGTCCAGATGGTGTTGATCTGTCAGATTTTGTAATGACATCTAAGGGCATCGATAGGCCTGCGGAGAGAACATTTCAGTCAATTTATAGTTGGTTGTTGAGAGGATTTAGAATAGACCAAGAAGTATACACAATGTCAGTGTCAGTTGTAGTGAGTCGTGCAACAGAAGGTTATTTTTGGGAACTAATGCCGATGGACAGCACTGATGCTTGGAGACGGTATGTGGAAATGGCTTTTGAACGGTCATGGCCCCTCGTTATATTTGTGTCGGTAGAAGAGAAAGATATAAATGTTTCAATGCAAACCGAAGATGTAGAGGGTCCTATCAATGCAGGGGATGTTGTTGGACCATCGATGCAAAATGAGGAAAATCAACCAAGGGAGGAGCAGGCTATGGGCATGGCGGATGAGGGGGAGAGAGTCGGTATAATTGTTGATGAAATGGAGAGGGAAGATTCGGATAATGAGGAAGTGGACGACGACGCATCATCCGATGAGGAAGGTGATGTAATGGCCACTGATTGGGCAAATGAGGACTTCTCTGGACTTGTTATATCAGAGGGTGATCATGTACCCTGGGAGTATAAGGAGAACGAGGTAATTGAGGGTGCAAGGTATGCTCATAAGGATGAGATGAAGGAGGCGGTGAAGCATTGGGCAGTTTCCTTGCAGAGAGAGTTTAGGGTGGTCAAGTCAACAAATTATGTGTATGAAGTGAGGTGCATGAAGGAAGATTGTCCGTGGCGTGTCCATGCATATAAGGGTAAATGGAATGATTATTGGAAAGTTAGCATTGTGACCGAGCACAAGTGCTACTTACAAGGGGTGGAGAAGTATCACCGAAACATCACTTCAGCTTTTGTGGCAAGTGAGATGTACAGCAGTGTTGTTGGTAACATTGGCTTTGAACCAAAATCAATTATTAGGCACATCGAGAACAAATTCAAGTACACCATAAGCTATGCAAAGGCCTGGAGAGCCAAACAAAAGATCATTGAGATGAGGTATGACACATTTGAAGCTTCTTATGATAATTTGCCTCGTTTGTTAGCCACCATTGCCCAGAGGAATAATAATACGTACTATGACCTACATACATTTACATCGGTTGATGATCGAACAAAGAGTGTGCTGCAAAGAGCCTTTTTCTCATTGGGTGCTTGCATCAATGCTTTTGTGCATTGTCGACCTGTTCTATGCATAGATGGAACTTTTATGACAGGTAAATACCGAGGTCAGATATTGACAGCAATTGGGTGTGATGGGAACAACCAGGTTCTACCTATGGCTTTTGCATTTGTAGAGAGTGAGAACACTGAAAGCTGGTACTGGTTCCTAGAGAGAGTGCACATTGCAGTGGTGCGTATGAGGCCCAACGTTTGCCTTATACATGATCGTCATGCGGGTATGTTGCGGGCTATTGACTACTTGCAGAACGGTTGGGATGAGAAGGGACTTCCAGCTAAGTGGCCTGATGTTCGGAGTCGGTGGTGCATGCGTCACATGGGTGCAAATTTCTACAAGCAATTCAAGAACAAGCATCTTATGGAGCTCTTTAAGAGGCTCTGTGCACAGAACCAAGAGAAGAAATTTAATGAGTTGTGGGACAAGTTGGATGAGTTGACAACGAAGCAAACAGATGAGCAATCTCGCAGACCACTAGTTGAAGGTGACGAGCCTCCCATACCTCTTGGTGCATTACATGATGACCCACCAACAATGAGAAGGAGGTCAGGGTCGTCCATCAGAAATTTCACTCAGTGGATTGAGAATGAGCCTAAGGAGAAGTGGTCTCTATTGTTCGACACCGATGGATCTCGGTATGGCATAATGACAACCAATTTGGCAGAGGTGTACAACTGGGTAATGCGAGGAGTTCGG